AATCATTTAACATCAACAGATAATGAAACAAGTGGCGATGAAGATTCCGATGTTGATGAAATGAGAAAAAATCTTGAATCAATGTTAGAACCAACTGTATCAAAAAAATCAACAGAAACAAAACCACATGTTGATACAACAGATACAACGAAGAAAACAGTATGTTAAAAAAAAAGAAAGGATTTTATTAAATTTTAATTGTGTAGGGTTCACGTGCACTCAAAATCGTTCGTACATATCTTGATGATAACGGACGTGAACATCAACGTACTGAATATGTACGTAAACCAATGGTGGCTGAAGCCTATTCAAAAATTCGTTTAACAAAAGATAATGATTTTATGTAAATTATTTTATTGATTAACTTTATCTTTTCAATATATATCCTATTTTAGTCGTCAATTTTTTGCACTTGATGAAGATCAACGCGAAAATTTACGTCGTGAACGTCGTCGATTACAAGAACAATTACGTCGTGTTCGTCGACAAGATCGTTTACAACAACGTAATACAACATTACCATCAAATACCATTGATGGTCATCATTCACCATCGTCACGTTCAACAAATCCTTCGCCAATACGTCATTTACATTTACAATTAAATTCTAATGATTTATCATCATTAAAATTACCATCTGTTTCCGATATATTAAATAAAAATGATGGCAATGCAATGGATGAAACTCATCCTGATTTATTTATGGATAATAGTCATAATATAACATCAACTAGTCAATTAATATCAACATCATTAGATAATTTAAATAGTAATAGTCAATCAGGGTTTGCAAATTATTTTAGTTCAACATCATTTGGTGAAGATGGACAAGAAAATAATGAAATGATTAGTCCAACAACTAATCCTTCTGATCCATCAGGATCACATAAAAAAAGAAAGAAATCCGAGAAAGATCTTAAATGGGTACGAAAAAAGAAATTGAAATTATTAAATTTATTTTTGTCGTTTTCTTTTTTTAGCTTAAATGCGGTGCATGTGGTGGTCAAGGTCATATGAGAACGAATCGAGATTGTCCAATGTATGGAAAAACATCGAGTGGAAATATGCAAGCAAATATTAGTGTTGATAATGAAGATGCCCAACATAGTTTTGATCTTCCAGGAGTTGATTTAAATTCTTCAATAAATTCTGGAGATGTTTCAGTTAAAATGGTTGAAGGTGGTGGTACGAAATTAATATTTGCAAAAAATGTTCTTGAAAAGTATGTTCTATTTTGTTTTTGAAACAAGAAAAAAATGAAAATATAATATTTAATAGAGTATCATCAAAAGATCCATCGCGAAAATCGAAAAAAAATAAAACATCAAAATTATTATCAACTGGTGCTGAATCAGTAGGTGATGGTGATGAATCAACAACAAATAGTCAATCAAATTCATTTAATCCAAATATGAATATAGATCGACCACCAACTCCTCCACCTATTGTTCATATATCTAAAATGCAATTTATTCCACCTATAAAATCTTCATCATCATCTCCACCAGTTAATCTAACTTATACACCAAAATCGAGTGGTACACTTAAAACAACATTATCACATGCGGGAAGCCGACGTAAAAGTTCAACAACACCAACAATTGCTGAAAATAATCCGAAATCAAATCAAAATTATATTAGTACAACACCATCTACAGCATTTCGTCAACAACCAACATCAACACCATTATCATCGGGTCCATTAGGCACAATGTTTTCATTTCCACCAAATACACCAACAACACCAACACCTCTATCAGCAGGTGCTGATTATTTAGATAAACGTGCACGAACTGTACAACGAAGACGAATTGATCCACTTGTTAGTTTTGCTACTTTACTCGAAAGTATTCTTAATGAACTTCGAGATATGTCTGAGGTAAGATTTAAAATATATCAATTTTTTAAAATAATATATCTCTAATAGGCAACAATGTTTTTGGCACCCGTTAATTCTCGACTTTATCCAGCATATTATGAAGTAATTAAAAATCCTATTGATTTACAAACAATTCGTCAACGTGTTCTTGCTCATCAATATGAAACTCGTCAAGGTTTTCTAAATGATATTCGACAATTAGTTGAAAATAGTCGTCAATTCAACGGTGAATATGATCAAATCACACGTGATGCACAAACAATATTTGCTGCTTGTTTTCAAAAATTTGCTGCTGTAAATATTAATAGAAACTAATTTATTATCTTTATCTATTCTTTTGTTTTTTTCTTCTAGAATGAAGATAAATTAATGAAATTAGAAAAAGCAATAAATCCATTATTAGATGATGATCTTCTTGTTGCTATATCATATTTATTTGAACGTATATTAAGTGAACATTTAATGAATGTTGAAAATTCTTGGCCATTTCATCATGCTGTTAATAAACTTCGTTTTAAAGATTATTATGATATTGTTAAAACACCAATGGATTTAGAAAAAATAAAAAATGTAATTAAAACTAAAAAACAATTTTAATTCCTATTAATTATTATTTTTAGAATATTCTTAAACATACATATCGTTCACGTGCAGCAATGTTAGCTGATGTTAATCTACTATATACAAATAGTGTTCAATACAATGGTGAATCACATTCAATAACAGCAATAGCATCAAAAATAGTTCAAACATGTAAAGAACAATTTGATGAGCATACTGATCAATTTGATGCACTTGAAAGAAATCTTGTACAACAAAATTTAGCTATTACAAGAACCACTGAACAGCCATCGAACGAAGATGATTGGCAACAAATGATTGGAAATGAACCTATAAATAATTTTTCATTCCGTCCATTAGATGAAGGTAAATAAATGAAAGACATATGTAATATAAATCTTTTTCTAACGTTTATAATTTAGAAGCAGATGATAATACTGATCTAAAAAGTCCAACAGCACTTGGTATGTCACTTGAAACATTTCTTGCATGTGGTTTACCAAATACGGAACATAATATTGCACCAAGTGAATCTGAACAAAATGAAAATAATGATGATGAACCATTTCAATCAACTGAAGGAATTACCACAGAAGATATTTTAGGTAAAAAAATTCTCTTTTTTTTCAAACAATAAGTTTCTTAATATTTACTTTTTTCAGGTAATATTAGTGAATCCGATACATCTGATGATGATAATGATAATAAAAAATCTTCATCTTTACTATCATCTCAAACTCATCAAAATATATCAGATGATCCAAATTTACCAGCTGATGAAGCATCTTCTAAACATCGTCATCATAAACATTCAAAAAAACGATTGAAAACATCACATTCTCATACAACAACAACCGATGCAGCTGCACTTCAGTTATCTGAAGATGAACTCTAAATATTTTATTTTGTTTATAAAGATAAATGTATTTCTTTTTTTCCTTCGTATGTTAATAAATAAATAAAAAAAAATAAAAAGGATATTCAAGAATTACAAATCTATTAATCTTTTCAGAACAATGTCATCGGATATACTTGATGTATTAATTATTGGTGGTGGTTTATCTGGTCTATCAGCAGGAAATTATTTGTTCGATAATAATGTAAAAAATTTTAAAATTCTTGAAGCTCGTAATCGTGTTGGAGGTCGAACGTGTACGATTAATTATGAACAACGTTCAGTTGATATTGGTGGTGCTTATGTTGGTCCATTTCAAAATCGTATTCTACGTTTAGCACGTGAATTTAATATTGGTACATATCGTATTGATTATAAAGGAAAAAATGTTTTAACACTTACGAATGGACAACGATCAGTATATAAAGGTACAATTCCAACATCCGTTGGTGTATTTGCCTTACTTGATTTAAATTATTTATTATGTCGAACACAAGATTTATGTGATCAAATATCAAATTTAACACCATGGTCAAATGAAGATCTATCATCAAAATATGATGGAATGACTGTCGAGGATTGGCTTGTAACATTAGGTGAAACAGATGATGCAAAAGATATTTTTCGAGCTGCTGTTCGAACAATACTTTGTGTTGAACCTGATGAAGTATCCATGTTTGCATGGCTTTCATATGTTAATAATGGATTAGGAATAATGCGTTTAATTGAAGTTGAAAATGGTGCACAGGAAAGAAAATTTAAAGGTGGATCACAACAAATATCAAATCGATTATGTGAAAAACTTGGTTCAGATCGAGTTTTACTTAATCATGTTGTTAAACATGTACAATGGTCTTTAACAACAAATTTAATTAAAGTTACATGTGATAATAATGAAGAATTTTCATGTCGTCATTTAATTATTGGTTTAGCACCGTCACTTTATAAAACAATTCAATTTGAACCAGAATTACCACCGAAAAAACGTGAAGCAACTGAACGAATGTATATGGGTTCAATTATTAAAACAATTACAGTATTTGATCGACCATTCTGGAAAGAAAATGGTTTTTCTGGTAGCGTTCTTGATACATCACATGCATCAAATCCGGTTATTTTCTCTTATGATGATTCATCAGATGAACATCAATTTTATGCTTTAATGGGTTTTATTGTTGCCGATTCAAGTCGTAAATGGGCTAAATTAACACGAGATGAACGTCGTCAAGCTATTTGTGAACAATATGCTCAAGCATTTCAATGTAATGATATATTAACAGGTTGTCGTGAATATATTGAACAAGATTGGTCGGCCGAACAATTTAGTGGTGGTTGCTATACTGATATAATGCCAAAAGAATTACTATCATCATTACGTGAACAATTATGTACACCTTGTGGTAATAATGGACAATTGGTTTTCGCTGGTACTGAATTAGCAACTCGATTTTCAGGATATATGGATGGTGCAGTACAAGCAGGTGAACGAGCCGCATTTGAAATTATTACGAAATATTTAAAAGTCGATACTGGAAATGTGACACTTAAATGGATAGATGAAGAGCCAGTCGACGCTAGAGAAGAATGTCGATCATCTAATATTAATGAACTTATGTATCGACCATCAAAAATTGAAATGTTATTACCAAAAGCATCTACTACAAAAACAATTCTAAAAATAACTAGTATTGGTCTAGTTGGATTAATTGCAATATTTATCAAGTCACATTATTTTTAAATGACAAAATTTTCTTATTTTTAATGATAGTTAGAAACATTTTGTGATTTCGATTTTTATGAATTTTTGGATGATTATATACAGTTGTTTTGTTGAGAATGTTTTTTTTTTATATAATAATAATAATAAATCCAGCTATTTCTATAATCGATTATTCTAATATATGAACGTGCAGGGGGTAAGAAAATTATATGTCCCCAATGTCATAGCCAGAAAAATGAAAACTATATTTGGAAACAAATTTCTTTCCAGAATATACTGTTCGTTTTTCTGGTTGTAACACAGGAGGGGGGCCTATAATTTTTATTTTGATACTATCGATAGTCTAGAAGAATTTATAATTAAAATATGAATTTCTGTAAGAAACTAGTATATGCGTATGTTTTGTCTAAATTTATTTCAATACGTATAAATATTTCTATCTAATAACTGTTTGTTTTTATTAATTTTTCTTGTTCATATATAATTAATAGAAAAATGACAGATATGTATCAATAAACATGAACTATTGCTCTATTCTTAGTTACATCATAATTTAATCATCACAAATAAAATTTTCTTTTTTATCATCGCCATTTAAAATAACATTGTCAAGATCATGTTGTTGTGACATATCGTTTCTATCATGTTCTTGTCATAAATCGCTATCCTCATCCTTCTCTGTCAAGTACTTTCCGTTTTTTCATGTTTTCATTTGTTGAATAGATTGTGAAAATAATTTTTTCACCAATGATAAGTTTCGATGTATAAATAATATTTTGTATCTTATTATAAAAACAAATATCAGTAGAATATCCAGCCAAATATTTCCCCTATTATAAGGTACTTTTAATTTATTTAGTAACACGCTATGATGCGCAGAACGTGATGTGACCCGTAACTGGTACGTATATATGCTAATGACTCTTTTCTCATAGATGAATAGAGTCTTTGAAAACTTAGGAAATTATGGGAAACGAGAACGAGGGAATAGGGAATAGGAATCAGAGAAATTAATTTCCACAGGACACTAATGGATAGTCATTTGAGTGGGCAAACAAAAGTAAGAGATGACGTTTCATATACATCTAATTCATAATCAGGATATGGATAGCCATGTGCGTCAACAAAAAAGCAAAAGATAAAATTTCATCTAAGTTTAATTAGTTATCAGCATGTAGACAGGGATAGTCATATGAGTTTCGAAAAAAAATTAAAAGATAAAGTGTCATCTAAATTTAAATAATAATTAACATATAGATAGAGATCATCATGTCAAACAGTAGAAAACAAAAGATAAAATTCTAAAGAGATGTATGTAATTTATCAACGGTAAATATGAAACTTTGTCTTTTGCGCATTTATTAAATTTACATGGCTATCCCTCTCCAGAACTAACCAGAACCTGCGCATATATTTATGTCAACATATATATCACTTGTACATAAAAGAAAAGAATAGTATTTGTTGTTAGTGAAATTCAGATAATTTAGCTCTATATTTGACGTTGAATTAGGAAGTGGTTACCTTTGTGTCTTCTTCCGATCTATTTGTAAACTAGTATCGGGTGTAGCGAAAAATATAGTAGCAAAGAAAAAAAATGAAACTGGTAATTTTTACAGGTATAAATTTATTAGTCGTACCTTTTTCTCCACAAAGATTTTTTTGTTTCCGTCATCGTTTTCATCTTCTCTTATCTCTTACTAGTTTAAACGCTGTCCATTCGAATCATAACGGTGTTATCGTAACAACGAGTACCAAGAACATGAAACAGCAAAAAAGACCAAAAAATTACAATACTCGACGTAAGCAATATATCGTTTTGGGTCATACTGTTTTTGAATGGATTCAACTTATCGCAACACTAACCGTACCCATTACTATTGGTTTGTTTACTCTTGGCAACAGTTTTCAACAAATGAATCAAAGCAAAAGTCAATTCGACGTACAATTACGTATTGCCGCTGAGAATCGTCAGAAAGATCTACTTATTGCTTCAGAAAACCGTCGAAAAGATATGGATATTGCCGCTGAAAATCGCCAGAAAGATCTACTTATCGCATCGGAAAATCGTCGGAAGGATTTAGATATTGCAGCTGAAAATCGTAAAAAAGATCTCAAAATAGC